AATTTTTAAAAATTAAGCAATCTTTTATTCGTGTTTTTTTTTTTTTTTTGAAATCCTCCATATATCGTTTAAAAATTGCGTAATGGTGGCAACTTGAGGCCTGGAAAAGGGAAAGGTGGTGGAGGTCGGGGCAACCTGCAGTTTGGGAAAATCTTTTTTTATAGTAAGACTTTCGGAAATATTTTTTTTTTTAAAATATAGTTGTTTTAACTTTCTTTTAGCCTTTTAAAAACAATTATTTCAATACCATTTATTTTTCAAATTGAATTATTAAAAAAAAAAACAAAGAACACCTACCCGTTGTTTGGTCCGAGGGGTCAAAGGTTAATGAAACTTCACCACTGCACAAAAGGGGAGCCGTCCTGAAATGTATTCAAATTATACATACTATTAAAGCGTCATGTACTGTATATAATTGCGTTTCGTTGATATAATCACATGATCTGAATGTGAAGGATCAGTCAATGACTCTCAAGACACGATCTGAATGTGAGTAATCAGGCAATGATTCTGAAAACATGATCTGCATTTGAAAAATCAGTCAATGACTATGATAATATGATCTGAATTTGAATTAGAGACCGACCGAAAGTGATTTTCTAATTTCGGCCGAAGCCGAAAATAGGCCGAAAGTTTAAAATAACTTTCGGCCGTAACCGAAAATAGGCCGAAAGTTAAAAAATGACTTTCGGCCGAAACCGAAAAAATGCCGACAGTTAAAAATGACGGACATTTTATTGCATTGCCCTCCACCTTCCCTGAAATTTTTAGGTTGTACAAGCGAAACATACGACTCTTTGGGAGCACCTATCTGTGTGAATAGCTCTTTTCCACGATGCCCTTTAACAAGTCAAAGTTCAGGACCAAACTTACTGATGAGGATCTTCAAGCTATACTAAGAGTCTTAGTTCCTTCCTCACTCAAGCCAAAGCTGCTCAGCTGTGTAAAAAGAAGCGCTGCCAGGTCTCTGGCAACAGTGAGTGGGTGGAAGAAAGTGAATCCTAGTTCTTGAGAACCCTTAATGTTTTTATTGTTATTTATAAAGTTTGAGCAGATTGTAACAGTTGCAATCGCTTTTTTGTGGAATACTTGATGCGGCCCAGTCTCACTCAGACGGTACCTCCTGCGCCCCCCCCTGATGATTTGAGTTTGAGACCCTTGATCTAATCAATATTTTGGATTTTACCATTTTAATATAAAAGTAATTAAAATTGCATCACAATTTTTTTTTAAAAATTAGTTAGGTAGGAGAAAATTTGGCAAAAATGGGGAAAAAGGGGGGGGGGGAGCAAAATTAATACAAAATAGACTCTTGAGAGCCTTAGCTTTTATAATATAATTACAACCTAGAACATATACCTACAACAATTATTGTGGCTCTAATAGAGGCAATTGCCACTTAAATATACGTTATTGAGGCTATAAAAATATCACCACATTGTTTCGCTGTTTTCGTAATACTAATGCTTTGTGTTTTCATTAATAGCTTGCACGATGTCACTGTATTAATAATCAACCTCTAAAAGATCGGTTAAGCTGTTCATAAAGAACGCCTGGTTTGTTGTTAAAGATCGTTTAGTTTGTTCTTAAAGATCGCTTAGTTTTTTGTTAAAGATCGTTCAGTTTTTTGTTAATGGTCGCTTTATTTGTTCTGAAAGATCACTTAGTTTGTTCTTAAGGATCGCTTAGTTTTTTTTAAAAGATTTTTTAGTTGATTCTAAAAGATCATTTAGTTTATTCAAAAAAGATAGCTAAGTTTTTTCTTAAATTTCGCTTAGTTTGCGTTATTAAAAAAATCGTTTAGTTCGTTCATAAAGATCGCTTATTTTGTTATTAAAGATCATTGATTTTGTTCTAAAATATCGCTTAGTTGTTCTTGAAGATAATTTATTTTATTCCTTTAAGATCGATTAGTTTGTTCTTTAAGATCTTTCAGTTTGTTCCTAAAGAACATTAAAATTTAGTTTTCTGCTAAAGATCGCTTAGTTTGTTCTTATAAATCGTTTAGTCTACTATTAAAGATCATTTGTTTTGTTCTTAAAGATCATTTAGTTCGTTCTTAAAAATCGTTGAGTTTGTTCTTTAAGATCGTTTAGTTTGTTATTAAAGATCGCTTAGATTGTTCTTAAAGTTCGCTTAATTTGTTCTTAAAGATCGTTTAGTTTGTTCTTAAATGTCAGTTTGTTGTTAAATATCGCTTTCGCTGAGTATTAGACGACCGAAAACCTCAGACACTTTCGGCCGGATGGCCGAAAGTCAAAGTCAATTTCGGCCGAAACCGAAAAAAACCCCGAAAGTTAACTTTTCTCTTTCGGCCTAAACCGAAATTAAGCCGAAAGTTAACTTTTCCGTTTCGGCTGAAACTTGGCCGAAAGTGATAAAATGGCCACTTTCGGCGCCGAAACCGAAGCCGAAGCCGAAATTCGGTCGGTCTCTAATTTGAATAGTTAGTCAATGACTCTGAAAACACGATCTGAATTTGAATAATCAGTCAATGACTCTGAAAACACGATCTGAATTTGAATAATCAGTCAATAACTCTGAAAACATGATCTGAATGTTTCTTAATGATTTTTCAACAAAGTTAATATTAAAACAAACAAAAAAAACAATAACTTTGTCTGTGTTTTATGAAAGCTAGCATTTGGGGACTGCTGATGTATTGAAACATAGATAAGTCCCGTCAAGGGGAGACCTAGCATGGATATAACAAGATATCATTGGACAGGCTTTTGCCCATCAGTCGCGCAAGCTCTGCGGCTCATCAGGGAGTCACCGTGATGAAATCTCTTTAAACAGCAAACAACACGGGAATTGAAACAGTTTTGTAAAAACATTATGTGTGCATTTTAAATGATTTTAATAGCCTACCTAGAACACTTGAAAAAAAATCAAGTGCGTAACAGCTTGTTGGTACCTCAAAGAAGAATCCACTGGCGACTATCTCTTTTCTTTTTCTTCTTGTGACATCAGAATCATTGAGCAGGAGTGATCCATTGGGGTTTGGATAACTTTATTGTTATTTAATGCGAGGTATATATTTTTTTTTAAATCATCAAATTAATCTTTTGGGTAAATCAATTCTTGTGGTCCACCTAACCGCAGTGGAACAATTAATTCGGAGTTCCAAGAACCAAAAAATATTTTAAAAATAAATTTTGAAAATTAAAAATAAAAACCTCTTTTAGATTCATCTATTTCCTCTGATATAACAGTTAATGAGTTTAATTTTGTAAATATTAAATTCAAATGATTTTTCAACAAAGTTAATATTAATTGTCTAAGGTGTTCAAGAACATGGCCACATAATCGCGTAGAGCAGTGGCTCTCAACCTTTCCGATGCTACGACCCTAAAAACAGTTCCTCATGTTGTGGCGACCCCACCAATCACATAATTATTTTCGTTGCTACTTTATAACTGTTGAGTATAGGTGTTTTCCATTGGTGTTAGGTGACCCCTGGGAAAGGATTATTCGACCCCAAAGGGGTCGCGACCCACAAGTTGAGAACCTCTGGCGTAGAGGAAAAGACGCTTTTTATGCAATGCAAATCGCGTCATGTCCGAGTTATTTAAGACCTGTGTTATAACTTACGGTCTCAATTTTTTGCTGTGAATGTGTAAGTCAAAAAAAAAAAAAAAGGCAGGATATTTTAAAAGTAAAATATTAGTGAAAAAAATTTGTCATTTTGCAGTTTTTCCTAAAATATGGCTGACCCCTGAGAGTGCCCGAAACATAAAAAGACAACAAGAGGGGTTCCATAACTTACGGTCTCAATTTTTTGCTGTGAATGTGTAAGTCAAAAAAAAAAAAAAGGCAGGATATTTTACATGTAAAATATTAGTGAAAAAAATTTGTCATTTTGCAGTTTTTCCTAAAATATGGCTGACCCCTGAGAGTGCCCGAAACATAAAATGACAACAAGAGGGGTTCCCTGAAGCGACAATTTAAAAAAAAAAAATGTATTTATAGCTGAGAGACGTCCAGTCAAGAGGAAGGATTTAGCTACCTGTCCAGTGCCGACAAGGCTGAAAGGAGTGCGGCCAGTCAAAGTTGCTATCAGGTTGTCCCAGGCCCCTTTGGTTACTCTATGATTGAATTACACGTTGATTAGATAAGCTTGTTCTCCTCTTTTTGTGTGTGGTGATTATAAAGGTATGTATAAGTTTAACTATTTCTTTCTACACGATAAGTTGAAGTATTTAGCTATTTCTTTCTACAGAATCAGTTGAAGTGTTTAGCTATTTCTTTCAAGAGGATAAGTTAAAGTTTTTAGCCATTTCTTTCCACAGAATCAGTTGAAGTGTTGAGCTATTTCTTTTCTACAAAGGGTATTTTGAAGTGTTTAACAATTTCTTTCTGTAAAGGTTAGTCGAAGCATTGAACTATTTCTTCTTGAAGCGTTTCTATCATGTAAGTTAGGGGACTCTAATAAGGATTCTTTGTAAGTTACGCTATGTTATGTTACCAATGCTCTTCTATAACGTAACTATAGGGCATTTAGCTAGTGATTTCCTATAATGTGAGTTAGGGCATTTTGCTAGTGATTTCCTATAATTTAAGTTAAGGCATTTTGCGAGTGATTTTCTATAATGAAAGTTAGGACAATTTGCTAGTGATTTTCTATAATATAAGTTAGGACAATTTGCTAGTGATTTTCTATAATATAAGTTAGGGCATTTTGCTAGTGATTTTCTATAATGAAAGTTAGGACAATTTGCTAGTGATTTTCTATAATATAAGTTAAGGCATTTTGCGAGTGATTTTCTATAATGTAAGTTAGGACAATTTGCTAGTGATTTTCTATAATATAAGTTAGGGCATTTTGCTAGTGATTTTCTATAATGTAAGTTAGGGCATTTTGCTAGTGATTTTCTATAATGTAAGTTAGGGCATTTTGCTAGTGATTTTCTATAATGTAAGTTAGGGCATTTTGCTAGTGATTTTATATAATGTAAGTTAGGGCATTTTGCTAGTGATTTTATATAATGTAAGTTAGGGCATTTTGCTAGTGATTTTCAAGGTGATACAAAATTTTACTCTGGCGTAATATGTCACTAGGATACAGAATGTCAATATGACACTAAATTTCCCTCTGACATAGTATGTTAATATGACACAGTATGGCAAAATATAACAAAGTATGCCACTTTGAAATAGTATGTCTATATGACGCTGTAGGTCTCCATGTCACAGTATGTCACAATAGCCCAGTATGTCACTATGACTAAGTATGTCAATATGACACAAAATTTCACTATGGCATAGTATGTCACTATGACAAAATATGTCACTTTTACACAGTATGTCACCATGATGCACTATGTCACCATGAGATGGGCGTGTCACATACCCTTGCTCTCTCTCTCTCTCTCTCTCTCTCTCTCTCTCACTCACGTCACTAGTTTGATTCCAGAGAGGTGGTCTGTGCGGTGATGGAGATAGCCTGGAAGCGCTTGGTCTGCCTGGTAATGACGCTACTGGTGCATGCTCCTGTCAATGTGGGCCAGCTGCTGAACCTGTTCGGTGGTGGGGCCAGTCAACAATGTAAGTGTGATATGTTCGTTGGTGGAGCCAGTCAGCAATGTAAGTGTGATATGTTCGTTGGTGGAGCCAGTCAACAATGTAAGTGTTATATTTCGTTGGTGGAGCCAATCAACAATGTAAGTGTAATATATTCGTTGGTTGAGCCAGTCAACAATGTAAGCGTAATATGTTCGTTGGTGGAGCCAGTCAACAATGTAAGTGTATTATTTCGGTGGTGGAGCCAGTCGACAATGTAAGTGTAATAAGTGCGTTGTTCGAGTCAGTCAATTGGAGCCAGTCAACAGTTAAGTGTAATAAGTTCGTTGGTGGAGCCATTAAAGTAAAGCCAGTCAACAATGTAGGTTTAGCATGGTCGGTGGTGGAGCCAATTAAAACTGAGTCCCAGGGGTCTGAAAGCTTTTAATGGCAAAGAGCCGAGCATTAAATTTTGACCCAGTAACTAGAAGTATCCAAAGAGCTGCATGAGATAGATCAAAGCGCCCCATGTATTAGGCAATCGAGCAAACATGAAGCACACTTTGAAATGTTAAAGTTACTAAAAAAAAAAATATAGAATTTTTTTTTCAGCTCAACCAACCAGCGGTGGTGGCAGCCTCGGGGGGCTGGTCGGTGGATTGCTGGGTGGAGCCATCGGCGGCAGCCAAGGGAGGAGTATTAACGCTATAAGTTATAGGTACGTGTCGTTAAATAAAAATTGACTTTGTTAACATATTTACTCCTGGTTACAAAAAAACAACAACGGTAAGATAAATTGCCCTTTAACCTTTTGATACACATGTCCTGACCACTGATTAAGGATGGTAAACAATTTTAACGTTTATGGGTTTTTGAAACAGCTGACCTGCTAATTGATTTTTAACAAATCGATCATATCATCAGTTTATTTCAAGAAACATTTTTATTTTATTGTTGAAATTCCAACATTAAAAAAAATATACTTTAAAGAAAATACAAGATTAAAAGATGCAGAGTAATGGATTAAGAAAAAAAGAAAAAAAGAAGTGATTTAAACGTAAAATTGCGTCGTTTTTTAAACATAAATTAAATATAGGTATAGATTTATTTAAAAGGAATGCAATATAAATAATCGCAAATATTTAAATAGGGCCGATTAAAAAATATTTAAAAAAAAAAAGGAAATTCGTTTTGAAATATTTAGATTTTAACATCAAGGGCTTAACTCAGTTTTATTAACGGTGCACCCCGAATCAATGTCAGCGTCTGTTCCATAGCCTCCCCACACCCCCGGTGCTGTATGGGGCCACGGCCCCCAACAATGATCTCATCGGTGCTGAGAAAGTTCACTTCGGGCTGGTCAACGGCCCGGGCTCCTTCGTCAACTACAAGGGTAAGATGTGCGTCTGTGTTGTTAGCAGGGACTCAAGGGTAAGATGTGCGTCTGTGTTGTTGGAGCAGGGACTTTTTTTAGCAGGGACTTTTGTTAGCAGGGATTTTGTTAGCAGGGATTTTGTTAGCCGGGATTTTTTATCATTTTTTTCTAATGACAGAGCTCAGCTCCAGCTTCGCTCCAAACACAAATTTGCTTAGCGTCCAGCTCCACTTCGAGCTCTGGCAATATATATATATATATATATATATATATATATATATATATATATATATATATATCGCACAATCTACATTCTATAAACTTTTGTACCCACTTGTTTATCTTCTGTTGTATGTGTTTCTCTAATATATATATATATATATATATATATATATATATATATATATATATATATATATATATATCGCACAATCTACATTCTATCAACTTTTGTACCCACTTGTTTATCTTCTGTTGTATGTGTTTCTCTGTCAACTGTAGTATGTCTTTCTCTATCAACTGTATTATGTGTTCCTTTATCAACTGCAGTATGCGTTCCTCTATCAATCAACTGCACTATATGTTCCTCTATCCACTGCAGCATGTGCTTCTCTATCAGCGGTTGCTTTTGTCTATCAACTGTTGCATGTGTTTATACTTTGCTCCAGGTGAGCTGTATGCTGGGACGAGAGACAACAAAATCTACAACATGGCCAGGTGCAAACCCAAACTCATAGCCAATCTCTTGACCCCGGGCTGTGGTAAGTACCATCACTACACCAACATCTCCCTTACACATCAACTGTGCGTCTGCATTAAATGCACCAGTGAACACTAACGATATGTTTGAAAAGACCTGTGATGTCTTTAAAGTAGTTAAATTAAACACACCATCGTCCTGTTCAGGGATGGAATTTGTGGGGTACGTCCAATTTTTTGGTAAAAAAAGAAAACGGAATAGCTTGCCCTTGGATGACGCCCCCCTTTTTCCAATTTCGAGTAGCACCTAAACCATGTTTGTTGTTTTGTTTTATTTTTGCTAAACTAGATTCCACACAGCTGCGTTGGGCTGATAAAATCAGACCCCCACAAAAAAATAAAAATTTAATAAAACTAAATAAACTAATAAAATAGTACACTTTCAATATAAAAAAAATGACCCCTCCTCCAACTCAACACATTTTATAAAAATAGTACTGAGTGGGAAAAAAATAAGGGCAGTCACCCCGCGAGCTTCATGCGTGTTGTCTGAACTCCGGTAAAATGTCACTGTCTCCCCCCCCCCCCTTATCTTTGTTCTGGATCTGCGACTGTTGTTTCCGAAGTCTTTGTTATAAAATGAACGACGGTATCTTCTCTCTTTCCACAACGTCATCTCCATTCCGGGATCCGGGAACTGCCTGTTTCTATCAGAGGATAATTTCTTGACACACACGGTTGAAGAAGGCAATGCACTCTCACCGCGACATTGGGAGGAAGATTTGGTTGAATATTATGGAAGATACTTTGGAAGTTATATCTTTTTTTTTATTAGTTTAATTTTTTGTTAACACATAGACCCACCGGGTATTGTCTCAAAATACCCGGACCCGGTGTTAAAACCATGTACACCTGGTCAAGTCCCAATATTTTTTTTTTATTTCATCTCCAGAACAAGCAGGAACGTGTGGACAGCTGACCAGCCTGCGCCGCGACCCGACCACCGGCGACCTGATTGCGCTGGACACCTACCGGGGACTCTTCAGGGTCAAGGTCGACACAGGTACGATGCTAAGTCATTGAAACACTGCTCCTCGTGCATTTTATCAATGGAGTTATCGCCTTAACCCAGTTTGACCTATGGCAGCCGCCACGGCATTAACCATCTTACGCTATAGCGCCCGACCCCAGGATGTAAAACGATAACCACTTAACCGGTTTATCGGTTTCGGAACCCGGTTGATGATTATCACAAGACGCCGAGCCACATATTTTTGATCAAGACCCTTTTCGGGGTTAATCATGCAGTAAATAAAAGACACAGGGACATTTTTTTTTTTACAGAATTATGTTTACAAAAGGTGATCTGTTTATGCGTGCTTCGCATGTCTTCGTGTCTAGCTGTTCCACTGGTTTGACTGGGGGTACCCACCCATGAAAATATTCACATTTATATTGTAATTGGCACGATTTAAGCCAACAGATTACGACTCAAAAGCTATGACAGGGACGTAACACAATTCACTAATACATTCCTAGACGGTGATGGTAACACAGTTCACTAATACATTCCTAGACGGTGAAGGTAACACAATTCACTAATACATTCCTAGACGGCGACGTCACACAATTCACTAATACATTCCTAGACGGCGACGTAACACAATTAACTAATACATTCCTAGACGGTGAAGGTAACACAATTCACTAATACATTCCTAGACGGTGAAGGTAACACAGTTCACTAATACATTCCTAGACAGCTGCCAGCAAGCAAACGAGGTATTGAGGCCAGACTGTGAAAACTTGGTGTCTTCTAACAGGGGCATTTGAACAGATCTATGACGTGAACACGCCAGTCAACGGGCGGGCGCCAGTGCACCTGAATGACATGGTGGTGACTAACGATGGCATCATCATCATGACAGACTCCAGTGACGCGCACGAATTTGGGGCGGACATCTACATTGGCATGGAGGGGAGAACAGCTGGACGGTATGTAGGGGAGACCATCTGGACGGTATGTAGGGGAGACCATCTGGACGGTTGGTAGGGGAGAATAGCTGGACGGTAGGTAGGGAAGACCATCTGGATTGTAGGTAGGGGAGACCAGCTGGATGGTAGGTAGGGGAGACCATCTGGACGGTAGGTAGGGGAGACCATCTGGATGGTAGGTAGGGGAGACCATCTGGATGTAGGTAGGAGAGAACAGCTGGATGGTAGGTAGGGGAGACCATCTGGATGGTAGGTAGGGGAGACCATCTGGATGGTAGGTAGGGGAGACCATCTGGATGGTTGGTAGGGGAGACCATCTGGATGGTAGTCAAGGGAGAACAGCTGGATGGTAGATAAGGGAGAACATCTGGATGGTAGGTGGGGAGACCATTTGGATGGGTGGTAGGGGAGACCATCTCGATGATAAGTAGTGGATACCATCTGAATGGTAGGTAGGGGAGACCATCTGGATGGTAGTTAGGGGAGACCATCTGGATGGTAGTTAGGGGAGACCATCTGGATGGTAGGCAGGGGAGACTATTTGGATGGTAGGTAAGGGAGACCATCTGAATGATATGTAAGGGAAATCATCTGGATGGCAGGTAGGGGAGACCATTTGGATAGTTGGTATGGGAGACCATCTGGATGGTAGGTAGGGGAGACCATTTGGATGCTTGGTAGGGGAGACCATCTGGATGATAAGTAGTGAAGACTACCTGGAAAGTAGGTCGGGGAGAACAATCGAGATGGTAGGTAAGGGAGACCAATTTGGGTGGTAGGTAGGGGAGACCAATCTGGGTGGTAGGTAGGGGAGACCAATCTGGGTGGTAGGTAGGGGAGACCAATCTGGGTGGTAGGTAAGGGAAATACCTTTGATGGTACTGTAGCAGTGTAGACAACCGTCCTTATATATCTGAACATTCCTTAATTTTTTAGAAAGGTTAAATGGCATGTCCGTATAACTCCGCAATTATTTTAGGAGATGCATGAACATACTAACCTTGTATACGAAGCTTTGAAGTGAAACAAATCAAGGAATTTCAGATTTTATGAGATCTTATTGCTTGTTCTTAACGTGCGTGTTCATAATAGGGACACAGCAAAGCTGACGTTCCTTCATGTTGGCGCATGGTCATGTCAAATAAGGTCATGAGAGACGTAGCCAAAGGGAGAGAGATATTCATAGACACATTCCACATAATCATAGAAGTCCATCAAATATTCATAGTAGTCCACCAAATATTCAAAGAAACATACCATAGATTCATAGAAACATATCATAAATTCATAGAAACATACCATAAATTCATATGAACATACCATATGTTCATAGAAACATACCATATATACATTGAAACATACCATATATTCACACAAAAATAAAATATATATAGAAACATACCATATATTCATAGAGACATATCATACATTCATAGAAACATATCATATAGTCATAGAGACATACCATATAGTCATAGAAACATATCATATATTCATAGAAACATATAATCTATTCATTGAAACATATCATCTATTTATAGATAAATACCATATATTCATAGAGACATACCATACATTCATAGAAACATATCATATAGTCATAGAGGCATACCATATATTCATAGAAATATACCATATATTTATAGAGACATGCAATATAGTCATAGAAACACACGAGTTAGTCATAGAAACATACCATAAAGTCATAGAAACATACCATATAGTCATAGAGACATACCACATAGTCATAGGAACATACCACATAGTCATAGATACATACCACGTAGTCATAGAGGCATACCACATAGTTATAGAGACATACCATATAGTCATAGAGACATACCATGTAGTCATAGAGACATACCACATAGTCATAGGGACATACCACATAGTCATAGAAACATACCATATAGTTATACATTTGATACATTTTTTAGCCTCATAGTTTCAAACAGTTTACAGAAAATATTGTCCGTAAAAAATGTGCTAGTCTGTAAAAAGTTAGAAGATTTAAACGAAATGTCCTTATATATATATTTTTTTTTTATTAAGTTGGTATCGCTGTCCTTGAACGGTTAGTAAGGGAGGCTATTCGGACGGTAAAGAGGAGGAGACTATCAAGACAGTACGTAAACAGTTGGAACAGTTTGTCATCTGTGGACGGGTGTCTAGTTATCATGGTCTGGATACTGTTAAAGCCGGACCGATTAAGGCTCATATGCTAGCATTCAGATGACGGCTCTGGGTGGTTGAAGACCCCAATACTAGCATTCAGATGATGGCTCTGGGGGATTGAAGACCTCCCCCCCCCCCCAGAGAGCTACAGATAGACAGAGGGAACCATTCAAAAATACATCTTTGTGTTCCATAGAACTGCCAAATAAGCTATACAGCTAGGCCGGTGTTCTGCAATTAGAATGCTCTCTTCTAATCACCAAGTATAAAACACACCTCGGCATTAATCGCAATGATTGTATAGCCTCCCTGTTGACTGTCAGACAGTACAGCTTTAACCCACCCCCCACACAAATTTCCCTAAAACGATTGTGTCATTACAAACAATTCCTAGACCGAGCGAAAAATCATCTCATTTTATCCCATCCCATGTCGAATGATGACGCCGATATCTTACCACCCCCACCCCACCCCCCACCCCTCAGGCTCATCTCGTTCATCCCAAAGACTGGAGCCCTACAGGAACTCCTGCCCAACGCCTTCGCGTTTCCAAACGGCATCGAGCTGACCCAGGACAACACAGCACTGCTGGTGGCAGAGACTGGGCGTGTCCGCATTCAAAGGTGGGTCTTCAAGTGGCACGGCTGGATCATACCAGCTCAATCATACCATCTATATCATACCATCTATTTCATAACAGCTATAGCATACCAGCTACAACACAATCTACATCATACCAGCTACATCATACCAGCTACATCACACCAGCTTCATCATACCAGCTATATCATACCACCTCCATCAGTGGTTCTCAACCTTCCTAATGCCGCGACCCCTTGATACAGTTCCTCAAAGTTCCCCCAACACAAAATTATTTTCGTTGCTTCTTCATACATGCAGAGTGTATGTGTTTTCCGATGGTCTTACGCGACCCCTGTAAAAGAGTCATTGGACCCCCAAAGGGGTTGCGACCCACAGGTTGAGAACCGCTGACCTACATCATACCATCCGCATCATACAGCTATATCATGAAGCTATATCATACCAGCTACATCATACCAGCTGTAGCATACTATGTTTATACGTGCATCATATGCACTTCAATGTTGAAAGGTACATGAAATGATTGTGTTTGTAAAACGCAACAACACCCCCCCCCACCCCCAATACTTCCTTGAGCCTGAAGACAAGCACATTTAAAAAATTCGAAATTTAAGTATTCGCCAATAAATTATAAAATAAAGTTCCACTAATAACATTTCTATTGACGACAAACCCGATGGCATAGCTATGCCCCCCTCCTCCTCCCCCCTTTTCCAGTTTTGATATCGGATTTGTCTAAAACTATACACATTTTATTTGCCACTCTTAAATTTTACAAATTTAGAAAATCTACGAATAATTAATTCTTTTTTATTTGTAACGAAACAATCTTCATACGTATGTTTTACTGTTTGGCCTCCTTCCACCCGGCGTCTCACGTCCGGCGTCACAGGGTCAGCCTCCAGCGTCCAACATGGCTGCAGGTGACGACCTTCGCCTACAACCTCCCCGGCCTGCCGGACAATATCCGCGCCACCGACCGCGGCACCTACTGGGTCGGGATGAGCTATCCGAGACACTCGAGATCCCAGAATCCCATGGACCAGTACTCGACCAATAGCTACTACAGGAGCATCGGCGCTTCCGTAAGTTGGGTGCAGCACTACCAGAAATTAAAGAAAGGCTTGGGGGAAAGAAAGGGGGTGTTGGCTGTCTGCAGTTCTCAGGGCTAAATAAATAATTGATCTTTGTTTCAATCAGACATTTTGGATTCTTTAACATTTTGGTTTAATTCTTAAGGAAATTATTCACAATCAAAAGTAAGTAGACCATAATCACCTTAAAGAGTTAATTTGACAACTAACTTGTAAAGCTTACCTCAATTTAATCTCTTTCTGAATAAAGTTATTCCTTTACTTATCTCAATTATCTCCTTAATTATCTCAGTTATTCCCTACTAATCTCAATTATCTCCTTAATTATCTCAGTTATTACCTACTTATCTCAATTATCTCCATAATTATCTCATTCCCTACTTATCTCAATTATCTCCTTAATTATCTCAGTTATTCCCTACTTATCTCAATTATTTCCTTAATTATCTCAGTTATTCCCTACTTATCTCAATTATTTCCTTAATTATCTCAGTTATTCCCTTACTTATCTCTATTATCTCCTTAATTATCTCATTCCCTACTTATCTCAATTATCTACTTAATTATCTCATTCCCTACTTATCTCAATTATCTCCTTAATTATCTCAGTTATTCCCTTACTTATCTCAATTATCTCCTTAATTATCTCAGTTATTCCCTACTTATCTAAATAATCTCCTTAATTATCTCAGTTATTCCCTACTTATCTCAATTATCTCCTTAATTATCTCAGTTATTCCCTTACTTATCTCAAGTATCTCCTTAATTATCTCAGTTATTACCTACTTATCTCAATTATCTCCATAATTATTTCAGTTATTACCTACTTATCTCAATTATCTCCTTAATTATCTCAGTTATTCCCTTACTTATCTCAATTATCTCCTTAATTATCTGAGTTATTACCTACTTATCTCAATTATCTCCTTAATTATCTCAGTTATTACCTACTTATCTCAATTATCTCCATAATTATCTCAGTTATTCCCTTACTTATCTCAATTATCTCCTTAATTATCTCAATTAATACCTACTTATCTCAATTCTCTCCTTAATTATCTCAGCTATTCCCTTACTTATCTCAATTATCTCCTTACTTATCTCAATTATTGCCTTACTTACCTCAATTACTCCCTTACTTACCTCAGTTACTCCCTTACTTATCTCAATTATCTCCTTACTCATCTTGATTACTCCCTTAGTTATCTTAATTACTCCATTATTTACCGCAACTATTCCCTTACTTACATCAAGAATCTCACCTACCTACCTCAATTATGAACCTCACTTCTGTCAATTACTCTCCTCCCAGAGAATGAGCTACCAGCAGCTCAATGACATGTTCACAAAGTGGGGCATCGCCGTGGAGGTCAACTCTCAAGGGCAGATCATCAAATCGATACAGGACCCAACAGGTGGGGCTTCAGATGACAATGCTCCACGTTATAAAAAAAAAAACAAAAAAAAACCAAAACCCCACGATATTACACAAGTCGTAGAGTAACTGGGACACTTTACGTAATGTCACATTTAATTCACACAATAAGGAAATGCTAAACAGGTCTCATTTACATTTTTGAAAGATTTAACCTCCAAGGAAAAAATCCAGGTTTCAAATTATAACTTTAAAAAAAACAAAAAACTCCACAGTTTTCCACCTGAATGAAATCGCCCTCCCCCCCCCCACCCCACTCTTTTTTTTTTGTTCTTAATTTTTTTTTCCACCGTCCAGGTAGAACAATGGCAATATTGAAAGATTTAACCTCCAAGGAAAAAATCCAGGTTTCAAATTAAAACTTTAAAAAAAACAAAAAACTCCAAATTTTTCCACCTGAATGAAATCGCCCTCCCCCCCCCCACCCCACTCTTTTTTTTTTGTTCTTAATTTTTTTTTCCACCGTCCAGGTAGAACAATGGCAATGGTGAGCGAGGTCAGTGAATTCGGAGGGGTTCTCAACATTGGCTCCCCGGACATCAACTACATGGCTCGGCTGGTCATCCCGCAGCGCGGGTTCAAGGTGGACAGTTTCGTCGCTGTGAGTGAAGCATCGCTTTCATGTTAACACGATACTTTGATGTTAACTCGATACTTTGATGTTAACTCAATACTTTGATGTTAACTCGATATTTTGATGTTAACTCGATACTTTGATGTTAACTCGATACCTTGATAGTGATGGTGATGGGGCTGAACTTGGGACGTGTAGAGTTTACATGCCGATGGAAGATGGCGCTGCTCTGATACAAAGACGTTGTTCGTGATATTCTTTGTGTTCAACCTAGTAGACTTTCGGAGTTTATGCTGGTGTCCAGGAGAAATACATTCTAATGTTCATATCATGTTTGGACATCTGTATATATAAACTGGACATCTGTCTATATAAACTGGACATCTGTCAATATAAACTGGACATTGTCTATATAAACTGGACATCTGTATATATAAACTGGACATCTGTCTATATAAATTGGACATTGTCTATATAAACTGAATATCTGTATATATTAACTGGACATCTGTATATATGAACTGGACATCTGTCTATATAAACTGAATATCTGTATATATTAACTGGACATCTGTATTTATATGAACTGGACATCTGTATATATTAACTCGACATCTGTATATATAAACTGGACATCTATTTTTAAACTGGACATCTTTATTTATATATATATATATATATATGTATATATATATATATATATATATATATATATATATATAAATGTAAACTAGACATACGTATTTAAATAAACATGCTCTAACCTAACGCGTCTGTCATTTTGACAATATATATTAACTCTCGATATGTATATATATATAAGATATATATTTTTTTAATAGATATATATATATATATATATATATATATATATATATATATATATATATATATATATATATATATATATAAATGTAAACTGGACATCCGTATTTAAATAAACATGCTCTAACCTAAGGCGTCTGTCATTTTGACGAGTGTCGTGTATTTGTGACGCAGGTGGCCAGGAGCCGATGTCAGCTCGACGACGCCAAGGTCCAGGAAGCCAGGAAGACGCTGGAGGCCCAGTTGAACAAATCAGCACCGGCGACGTCAACGAAAAAACCGTAGCAACCTGAGATGGTAGGGTTGAGGGGGGGGGGGTTCGCGGGTTGGGGGTGGATGGGGAGTTGATAAAATGATCGCTTTAAAAATTAAAAATAAACCATCGTTTGCCTTTCAGGTCACTTCAACAAATTAGGCTGGGTTTTTATTTTATTTGATTGTTTAGACTTTAATTTTTGAAGGCAATGTTCGATCGCTATGTGAAGATTATTTGATTGTTATCGGTTACCGTTTTAGTCTTTTGTTGTTGTCATTGTTTTCTTGAATGATTTTTAAATGAATCGACATTATCTCTGTCTCCACTTGCAATTTAATAAAGTGTTTTATAGGTACAACTTGTTGACTTCAAAGATTATGTGTACAACTTGTTGACGTCAAGGTTTATAGGTACAATCTGTTGACTTCACACATGGCGTGTACAACTTGTTGACTTCACAAATCATAGGTACAACTTGTTGACTTCACAAATCATAGGTACAACTTGTTGACTTCACAAATCATAGGTACAACTTGTTGACTTCACAGATCATTGGTACAACTTGTTGACTTCACAAATCATAGGTACAACTTGTTAACTTCACAAACCATAGGTACAACTTGTTGGCTTCACAAATCATAGGTACAACTTGTTGACTTCACAAATCATAGGTACAACATGTTGACTTCACAAATCATAGGTACAACTTGTTAACTTCACAAACCATAGGTACAACTTGTTGGCTTCACAAATCATAGGCACAACTTGTTGACTTCACAGATTAAAATGTACAACTTGTTGACTCACAGATTAAATGTACATCTTATTGACTTCACAGATTAAAATGTACATCTTGTTGACTTCACAGATTAAAATGTACAACTTGTTGACTTCACAGATTAAAATGTACAACTTGTTGACTGCACAGATTAAAATGTACAACTTGTTGACTTCACAGAATAAAATGTACATCTTGTTGACTTCACAGATTAAAATGTACAACTTGTTGACTTCACAGATTAAAATGTACAACTTGTTGACTGCACAGATTAAAATGTACAACTTGTTGACTTCACAGAATAAAATGTACATCTTGTTGACTTCACAGATTAAAATGTACAACTTGTTGACTTCACAGATTAAAATGTACAACTTGTTGACTTCACAGATTAAAATATACATCTTGTGTACTTCACAGATTAAAATATACATCTTGTTGACTTCACAGATTAAAATGTACATCTTGTGTACTTCACAGATTAAAATGTACATCTTATTGACTTCACAGATTAAAATGTACATCTTGTTGACTTCACAGATTAAAATGTACAACTTGTTGACTTCACAGATTAAAATGTACAACTTGTTGACTGCACAGATTAAAATGTACAACTTGTTGACTTCACAGAATAAAATGTACATCTTGTTGACTTCACAGATTAAAATGTACAACTTGTTGACTTCACAGATTAAAATGTACAACTTGTTGACTTCACAGATTAAAATGTACATCTTGTGTACTTCACAGATTAAAATATACATCTTGTTGACTTCACAGATTAAAATGTACATCTTGTGTACTTCACAGATTAAAATGTACATCTTGTATACCTGGACGGCGGAAGAAATTTTTAAATGTGAATTAAAGTTTTTTTATTTTATTTTAAAGCTTAGAATTCTAGAATTTGGTTAGTACCTTTAAAATATGAACATCTTAAGTCTTAAAATCTCATGTCTGAGTATCTTAAGCGTTACAGAATTAATTCTGTCACCTTGTCGTAGTGTGCAAGATTGCTGACACTAGCTATAACATTTTTTATATCAAACAAGTCCAAAAGTTGCATTACCTGTTAGCCTTCTCCATTACCTGGGTATCAGAGACCACGAAATTTGGAATAGGATATTTACATTTTTGGATAAATAGAATCAATGAGATAATACGCCCTGGATTAATGTACATGTCATTTTTACACTACACATGTCCAAATAAAAAAATTAAAATAAAAATAAAAAACCAAAAAGAAATGGCGGCCAACAGTTTGGGAACCTCTGACGTAGCTGCCTGATTCGTCTGTTTTTACTGGTATGACCTTGTCAGTAGCTTACATTCATTTTATATGGAGGCTGAGAATGTGCAATATTTCTCTCGTTTTTTATTTTTGATGCATGTTTTCCGGTTATGAAAAATAATGTATATATATATATATATTCACACCTCCGAATTTTTTGTTGTACACAGTCTTGTCAAGTTTGAGATCTCCAAACTACTAGCACCGTGACGTCTCTTATTTATTCCTTGAAGCGCTGTCCAACCCCCAAACCCCTTTCTCCCTCTCTCTCTCTCTCTCTCTCTCTCTCTCTCTCTCTCTTCGTATTTGGATTGAACTGAAATATTACATTAAGAAATGGAGTTAGCGGGCCGTCGAGCTTGCGCTCTTTATGCCCTCCACAAACACCCCTCCCCAACCCGGTATCAGGCCGCTGAGCGGCACGTTGGGGGATCTCCCTTTGTCAGGGCGGGCCCCACCTGAGTCTGCTCGACCAGGTCTCCGCCGGGGGCCGACCCAACCCAAAGACACCCGGTCGGTCCGACACTGTGTTTGCACACAGTGCACACGATCGACTCTCTCAGGAGTTGGCATGGAAAAATTTACGTCCTAATATCTTCCCCCACCCATCCCGGGGAAGCTTTGGACGCCGTATAACAGGGATTCTACAGTGGGTTTCCACAACGCAACTAATTCGCGATGCAGCTGGGACGAAACGGTTGCCTTGGAACAGCTTCTCAGTGCTGCATAGTAAGAATCATCGGCCAGAGGTTACCACCTTCGCCTCTCGCCTCATATCCATTAGCGTCAACTTGTAATCATGATCCTTACCCTGTCTCGGCCTATTCTTCCATTTGAGAAATATCACAACTGGCAGCCCTGTAGGAGCTGTTTTATGTACGGCAGGTACCGAGCACATCCGTTGTCTGCCCACGCAGGACGCGCCCAGTGGTTGTGTTTCCCGGGTATCGTCGAGGGGGTCGGTGGCCGACGCCTCCTAATCGACAAGCCACCACAGACTTGTCAACCGGAGCCCCGGCAGTATGGTCTCATTTCTGTCGGCAGTATGGTCTCATTTCTGTCGGGAGTATGGTCTCCTTTCTGTCGGCAGTATGGTCTCCTTTCTGTTGGGAGTATGGTCTCATTTCCGTCGGGAGTATGGTCTCATTTTTGTCGGCAGTATGATCTCCTTTCTGTTGGGAGTATGGTCTCATTTCCGTCGGGAGTATGGTCTCATTTTTGTCGGCAGTATGATCTCCTTTCTCTCAAGGGTATGGTCTCATTGCTGTCGGCATTATGGTGTCATTTCTGTCGGTAGTATGGTCTAACTTCTGTCGGAAGTATGCAGTATGGTCTCCTTTCTGTCGGCATTATGGTCTCGTTTCTTTCTGCAGTATGTTTAGTTAGTTTTTATTTTAAGATATAAGAGCCTCCCAGAGAGGGTTCAAGAACGGAATGGGATCCCAGCACGCGACATTTTAGCCGTAAAATACACCAAACTTAAAAGAGAACATTTTGTTCTTTGAAATCTGGAACTTTTCAAGTCATGCAGAACAAGGCCATTTCACTTCTATGTTTAAAATTGGTAACTGACTACCCCTCGGGTACCAGCTAGTTCTTTTTAGTGATTTAAAAAAAACAACAACAAAAAAAAACCCTTTTCCTATCACTTTTCTGCCACTGTCAAATTATAATTTCTGTATAAAGCCTGTCACTGCCACTATCAAAATTTTACTTGGTATCAATACATTGTTCAGCAGCGGAATAGTTCTTTCGCGTCATCAAACACTACGCCATTGTGAAGTGTTCGTAAGCCATTTTCCTATATTTCCTATCTTAGCGTTAATATTCCGTTTAAAAAAAGCGAGCAAACTAGTACATTCGAAACATATTTAAGTATTTCATTTTTTATATTTATTTGGTCAGAACTGAGGCGTAGAGAGGGTGTTTGGCGCCCGGGGACACGATTAGAGCCTGGGGAGAAGATGCATTTTAAAGCGCCCCCTTTTCTTTTTTTCAACTCTCAAACCCACTGTTTTTACCAATAATATAATGTCAAAGCATATTTTGGCGCCCCTAAGTAGCTGGCGCCTGGGGACATCTGTCACCCCCCTACCCCACCCTCGCTACGCCTCTGGGTCAGAATCATCGTGCACTTCAAAGTTCAAAAAGTTGACCTTGACCTTTGTTTCACCGATAAACGAAAAGAAAAAGAAGGATATGCATAAAAAATAAAAATAAAAAAAAAACAAAAACACACACAAAACACTGATAAGAGAACCACGGGTTGCTAAGATGGTGTCTGTTGAACGAACTCCTGACATTAATTAAACCCGTAGCAGGATATAAATAGACTAATCTAGAGCTCGAAGAAGTTCAGAGAGGCTTATCTTCGGACTTATCATCACAGGGCTTTAGGAGACACACGTTCGGCTCAAGTCAAAGGTAAACTGCGTTTTGTTTGGTCATTTTTGGCCCCCCCCCTCGTGCCCCTCACTGCCCCCCACTACTTTGTTTCTCCCCTTTCCTTCAAAGGTATGATAACGTGTATCCATGATTTTAATTATAGCGCCTCATTTACACTGTTTCGCAATGATGTTTAAATGAAAACCTAATACCGAAAGTTAAACTAAAAAGGACTAAGGCAATTGTGTTTCCCATGAAAGCAATCAGCCGGGTGTGAAGTTGGCAGACAGTGAAAGGAGCTGCGTTGCTCTTGTGTCACATATAAGAGATCAGCCAGGTGTGAAGTTGGCAGACAGTGAAAGGAGGTGCGTTGTTCTTGTGTCACATATAAGAGATCAGCCGGGTGTGAAGTTGGCAGACAGTGAAAGGAGCTGCGTTGTTCTTGTGTCACATATAACAGATCAGCCAGGTGTGAAGTTGGCAGACAGTGAAAGGAGCTGCGTTGTTCTTGTGTCACATATAAGAGATCAGCCAGGTGTGAAGTTGGCAGACAGTTAAAGGAGCTGCGTTGCTCTTGTGTCACATATAAGAGATCAGCCAGGTGTGAAGTTGGCAGACAGTTAAAGGAGCTGCATTGCTCTTGTGTCACATATAAGAGATCAGCCAGGTGTGAAGTTAGCAGACAGTTAAAGGAGCTGCGTTGTTCTTGTTTCTCCTCACACTCTGCGGCAGATAAGTGTTTCTATCATGACATATGAGGATTTTTTTTTTATATTGAAAACTGAATTTACAAAACATAGAGGACATATTACAAAACATAGATGACATATTTCAAAACATTGACGGCATATTACAAAACATAGATGACATATTTCAAAACATTGATGGCATATTACAAAACGTAGATAACAGTTTACAAAACTTAGATGACATATTACATAACTTTGTTAATATATTAAAAGACGTAGATGACATATTACAAAATGTAGAGGATATATTACAAAACCCTTTTGACATTGAAAAACCTAGATGACATATTAACATTTTCTAGAAGATAACATATTGCAAAATCTAGAAGAAACATTACAAAAACCTCGATGACATATTACAAAATCTAAATGACATATCACAAATCTAGATGACATATTACAAAATGTAGATGCCATATCAAAAACCTTATTGACATATTAAAAAAACCTAGATGACATATAAACATTTTCTGTAAGTTAACATTTTCCAAAATCTAGATGACTCATTACAGAAACCTCGATGAATATTACAGAAACCAGATGACATATTTCAAAACCTTGATGATACATTACAGAAACCAGATGACATATTTCAAAACCTAGAAGCATTCACAAACCCTTTCAAAACTTTCATTTCATACACATTTTTTTGTATTGATCTAATCAATGTATTCCACTGAATTTATCATGAACATAAAATTCTGACAATGAAAAATATCAGTAGATTTCTTACACGATAGAAATCGAAAGTAGCCACACGTGGGAGCGTATGCCACAGTTGCTACCACACGGTTAAATCTGATAAAAGGAAAGACATTTCCTAATCCCCACTTGGAATATATATATATATATATAGTTTAAAACAATTTTATGGTACTTTTTTATGGCATTTGCTAGTCCAACAATTTGGAACACCCTTCCAGTCGATCTCAGAAACAATCAGACTCTGGAGTCCTTTAAAACCGATTTAAAGACACATCTATTTCGCAAACACCTGGGATGATTGTCTACCTTATTTTCCAGTTAATGCATAATGGCTGTGTTGCTTAGGGTTGAAATTAGGTTGTTTTTTGTTGTTTTTTTTTTTTTACTTTGTACCGCGCTTCGAGCCTTTGGGGATGAAGCGTGTTTTTGAAATAAACTTTATTATTATGATTATTATTGAAAGACAAATTCTGATTCAGAACATAAATGAAACGGTCTTATATTTGGCTGCAAATTTTTTTAAATATGTACAATTAGAAAGTTCACATTACACTAAGACAAGTCAGACACGAACACAAATGAAAAGGACCGTTAATATGTTTCAAATTAAGAGCCGAACACGAAAAGAAATATCTCTCTTTTAATCTGCAGATGTCTCACGCTGTCTTCGCCTGTCTCCTGGCCGCCATTACCACCGCCTCCATCACCCACGGGCAACAGCAGCACAACCCGTGCGCGGGAACCGGAAGCGGTCCGCTCGCCGTCCGACTCGAGGCCAACATCCACGCCAACGACGCCAACCGAGATTGGGTCGTCTCCGGGTCCGAGATCACGAGCGACCTGACCAACAACTACGACAAAGATGGCGACGGCTGCGTCACGCTGCAGGAGTGGATCGACGTCTGGAAGGGTTTCAAATTTTCCCCCGAGTACGCCACGGCGAGGATCAAAGACCTCGGAGTTGACGTCACATCCACGTGTCCGATTAAAGTGGACGCCTTCAGCGCCGTGTCCATCCCAATGACCACTTTCATCAACGCCAACATCGATTCGCTCGTTAAACTGTGCGAGGGGAACACAACTCTGTACGAAACCGTCTGCGACTGTTGGGAGTTGAAGCACGAGTTGTGTGTGCGTGATCCGTCCTTTCAGACGTACGCGACGTGCCAGAAATACGTTTCTACGGTTATTGTCGGACGATGAGCCAATGCTAGTTAAATAAAAAAATATATATTTTTTTTAAAGTTGGGTTTGTAGATTATTATTATTTCTTTATTACTTTAGATGACTTTATTAGTTTCAACAATTTTCAGTAAAACAAAAACGAGGAGCAACAAAACAAAAGATGCTAATCAAAATCCAAATTGATTAAAAAAAATACCGCAATTGATTTATTAGTTAAAAATCGAAACAGCTGACGTCATATTTCAACTGTCCTAGTCTTACCAAACCAATTTTTCGTTTGGTGAAACGCACGATGTGTTTCAGAAAGTTTGTCGTGATGTCAATCACGTCGTTACACGCTCATTGTGTCCTGGCGTAACACGTCACATTCTAACGAAACGTGTCGCGTACTCGCATAACGTGTCACTCTCTAGCTCAACGTGTCACATTCTAACATAATGCGTCGTGTCACTCTCTAGCTCGACGTGTTACATTCTAACATAACGTGTCACTCTCTAGCTCAACGTGTCACATTCTAACATAACGTGTCACTCTCTAGCTCAACGTGTCACATTCTAACATAACGAGTCACTCTCTAGCTCAACGTGTCACATTCTACCATAACGTGTCACTCTCTAGCTCAACGTGTCACATTCTAACATAACGTGTCACATTCCACCACAACGCGTCACATTGACATTTTAACATGGCATCTCAAGTTATAATATAAAAATGTGTTGTTTTTTTACCTGCACTTTAACACCGGTAAATGACCGTGACCCGGACGCATGTTTCACCCGCTGTCAAGGTTAAGCTAGTGTCCTTGTGTAGCCACCCTTCCTTCCCCCCTCCTTCCACCCCACGTCCACACTTTACAAGTGTCAGCTATAGCAAACCTCAGCCCCGAAAAAAAAAAGTAATAAAAAATAAAATAATTAATTACACACGCACACAAATAAGCATTCACATACATACACACAGACATACACACACACATATATATATATATATATACAAAATATTTATTTAATATATATATATATATATATATATATAGATACAAATATATATATATATATATATATATATATATATATATATATTGGGTTTTTGAAGTAATTTAAAGAAAAAATATATTATTTGCTGTTTCCGCCTGGTGCTTACACAAATAAATACAAGGTTTTTTGACACGTGTGCAGGCAACATACATGAGAAGCATGTATTTTCAAAATTCAGTGCACATACTTGTAACGCTTTGTCCACCCATGCAGTAGTTCTGTTTGACATTATTTTATATAGCTCACATGATAAAAAATTTTTTTTTAAAATTCAGGCCCCCGGCCCCGAAAAGCAACATTGTAAAATGGTGGTACTGATTCAGAGTTAAGTAACACATTGGATCGTTTCTTCCTTTGCCTTAAGTAACTCACTGAATCATTTCTTCCTTTGACTTAAGTAACGCAATGAATCATTTCTTCCTTTGACTTAAATAACGCACTGAATCGTTTCTTCCTTTGACTTAAATAACGCACTGAATCATTTCTTCCTTTGACTTAAATAACGCACTGAATCATTTCTTCCTTTGACTTAAATAACGCACTGAATCATTTCTTCCTTTGACTCAAATAACGCACTGAATCATTTCTTCCTTTGACTTAATTAACGCACTGAATCATTTCTTCCTTTGACTTGATTATCGCACTGAATCATTTCTTCCTTTGACTTAATTAACGCACTGAATCATTTCTTCCTTTGACTTAATTATCGTACTGAATCCTTTCTTCCTTTGACTTGATTATCGCACTGAATCATTTCTTCCTTTGATTAAATACCGCACTGAATCATTTCTTCCTTTGACTTAAGTAACGCACTGAATCATTTCTTCCTTTGACTTAATTAACGCACTGAATTATTTCTTCCTTTGACTTAAGTAACGCACTTAATCATTTCTTCCTTTGACTTGATTATCGCACAGAATCATTTCTTCCTTTGACCCAAGAAACCAACACACCCACTGATGTTTAAATCACTGAATACAAATCACTAAACGCACCCCGTCAGTGAGACGCCGTGACGCAATCCTCTGTAGTGACTCCAACTCTGAGACGGATATGTCATCCTTTTTGATGTGGAAAGGTCGACTTGACTTGCTCAAAAGTCGAGGAATGCAAATGACATGAACCGCCTCCAATTTGATTGAACCCATTGTGTTAGACCTACAAAAATGTACAGTCGGGAAAGATATGTTAAGGCATTTTAAGAAAAAAAAAATGAAAAAGCAGGACAATGACGTGTTCTCACGTCTAAACATACAGCGTTCAAGTATATGTTTAATTCCTACGGCTTGAGTTCAGCCACCACCTCCCCATATACCCTAGATAATTAAGACCCACAAAATAATCCATGTCTATCGATCGTCGTTTAGGTCTACAGAATATGCGCTATAAAATAAATGCTTTTAACAATGCCTACACAAGATCGTTCATGTTTAAACACACACACACGCACACACACACGCACACACGCACACACACACACGCACGCACACACACACATACACACACACGCACACATTACACGCACGCACACACACGCACACACAAACACACGGACACACACACACGCACACACACACACACACACACACACGCTCGCACACCTCTCCCCTCATTTTCCATCCCACTCTCAGTAATATTAATATAAAACCCGGGAGAGGCCCGGTTATGAAAAGGAAGCAGCCACACCAGAAACAATATATATATATATATATATATATATATAAAAGAGATTTTCAAATTATTATACAAACTGTGGAGATTATTCAAGTTATTATATTGGATTTCTAGCACATAGTGTTTTATAATTTTACCTGATTTAGATCCTCTGTAATAGCACAACAGTTTTACTTACAAAAAAACCAACAAAAGTTTCAATTCCATATACAAACGAACAAACATATATTTTGTGATCAAAGTATTGCTCGTCCTTAGCACGCGAAGATGACCAGGGCAATTTTCGACTTGAGTGGTTCAGCCTTGACCTGAGTGGTATTATGTTTTAAAGTGAAAGAGAGCTGCTCAGTTCGTCAGCCTCACTATCTTGTCTATGCCGAATTGATCAAATGTCAAGTCTTAATCGAGACGACTGGAAATGAACCAGGTTGCAGTAGATGACTAGCATTGTGTGTGTATGTGTTTCACTGTGCTCTTTATGCTTTCTACGTCGCAGACGTTGTCACAATTTGCATTGATTCAATGTCATACCCAGCGTTTCTTTCAGCTATATTTCCGGGGGTGGAGGGGGGGAGCGCACGCACTGCCCCCCTTCCGGGGAAAGCCAAGTGCCCCCCGGAGCAAAAATATGTCCAACAATAAATCAACTGGCACTGCTGGCACTGCCCCCCCCCTCCCCCCACGAAAAATTTGAAGTGCCCCCCGGGGGAAAATTTCTGAAATATTCACTGGTCATACCGCCTTCGGGACTCCATCTCTGGGTTTGAGTTCAGAGTTTGACTTCTATTATAGAATTGTCATCCATAGTTGCAATAAATAAGACTTAATGTCAATCCAATCTGGGGGCCACATTTGCCAGCGACTTGCAGTTAATAAGACATAATGTCACTCCAATCTGGGGTCCCATCCAACCGTGGACAAGATAGTGAGGCTGAAGTGACATGGTGGTCATGTCACCAAGAATGCCCTTCTGTAGTGGGTATCAAGTGTGGTGGAAGCGCGCGATAGATATGACCTTAAAGTGGCGAAAGAAACATCGTTTTGGAAGTTTGCAGATGGCCAGATTGGAACGAGCACATTTTCAGCGATAAATTATTGCAAACGTTTGCCATTTTATTTTTAAGCTTATCGCTGGCCTTTTTAAATTCTGTATCTATTAACTTTTTGACGATAATCGACCCACTTCCCGTCAAATAATATTCAACTGTCCAATGTTCACAGCTAAATATTTAGTTATTTTTTTGAAGTAAAACGTTTGCTGTAAATCATGTGACTGACAAAACAATGAGGTTCAACTCTTTTCTTCCACAAATAAATCTTAGCTAGTTTCTCTGTACTTGATCAATATATATATATATATATATTTTTAATGAAACACATTTCCTTTTATCTCCTCATTTTTCCTCATAGAAAGATAACGTTAGATATTGGTTGGAACTGGGAATGGCAAAAACTAAAATCAACATTGAACTTGCCAACTATGGAAAAAGAGTGCACACGGAGTCGGCCAGTGACGTGAAGATCCACCAAAGCGTGGCCGTAGGTTTCGCCCCAGCCGGGATATACACTGACGAGCCCGGGGGTCTTATCTCATTAGGAGGTAAGCTATTAAAGATGCGAGTCTTTTTATGAAGCTTTTATTTAACGTGTCTTTAGGTGAGTTTTCTGGTTTGATGGTTGGGAAATCTGTAAGCTAATATTTTTTTTTAGATGACTGACATCCCAGGCAGATTTCTTAACCATGTAAAATCTAGCGTAACAATTTGGTGTACTAAGTTTAGACTTATTTACCCGATCAAATTTTCGTCAAATTTCTTTTTGAACGCACTATACTACTATACTAAATAGTAAAACAAAATAATGCATTAAAAAACGAAATTTGATGCAAACTTTAAACGGGTGAGCAGAAAAACAGTTTCGACCAAACTTCCGTTTGATCAAATTTCCGTCGATGAAATTTTTTTTTCAAACAAATTTCCGGACCCGTTTTTTTTTTTTCCGTTTAGATTTTCCTACTAGGACTTTTTATTTTTAAGAAGGTAACTGATCTGATATCCATTCGCGAATAACCATTTCTCACTCCCCAACTAATTCTGATGAAAATATGTTTTAAACAAAATAAATAATGAAATAGTGTTATTCGCAGATATGCTCTTTGCTGAAAAAAGGAGGCAGAGTTTATTGGGCCTACCTCGCTCATACCCCATATAATGTAGTGAATAAGTACTTTTTGACTGATGACAACGAGGAGAGTTTCAAGGACAAGGTGATTAAGAAAAGTACATTATGTCAATACATGGGAATAGTATTGATCTTGCATAAAGTGATTTTTTTAAAATGATTTTAAAAAAAAAAAGTTTTTTTTCATACTTATGTTAAATTGCTAAAAAAAATGTTGTTCAGTGACAGCTATTTCATTTGTGTTTTCCGTCTAGTAATTGGAACTTTTGGCATATTTTTAAGGAAAAGTGTTAAGTTATTATATATATATATATATATATATATATATATATATATATATATATATATATATATCTCTCT